TCACATCTCTCTCTTATTGGAGTTCCTTTTTACTTTGACCAATACATCATCTCTTGTCTGAGTCAAGAAGATTGTTTTACTCCGATTTTCCCATGTGACTCTTGTCTAAATCAGGAAGATTTTTTTGTACTTGTGACTTATACGTCTTACTCTAGTCTCTAAACCTATTTTGCTTTTTTAAAAGATAGGAGTTTCACCTACTAACATTATATTAAGAGGGCAACTGATGGGTTTATAAACAGAAAATATATTTTTTCTGGGATGCTATGCTTCATATAAAATTGTATATGAACAGTCCCGTGAATGCCTCTATACCTCTTTTGGATTTAACTGAATATGAAGATATTTTTAAAGGATAAGTTCACCTTTGGGAACATGTTACATGTTCCATCCGTTTTTAGGGTGGAACATGTAACATGTTCCCACGTCCTCAGCAGCGCCCTCCGCCTCCCTTCCCTCTGACAGATAGTACGGGGAACTTCTCCTGTCAGATTTGAAAACAGCACGGCCATGCAGGGCTCTGTGTTCTGTGAATGAGTGCCTACAAGTCCCGGCAGCCTTAGTGGCTGTCAGCCTATAGTTTTCAATGAACTACCATGGCGCTGTGGAGCACTGTGGTAGTTCATTGAAGCTTCCTGTCAGTATATCTGCTTGACCATACATCCCGTACGGCAAGCAGATATTCTGACAGGTCTGCAGTAGATCTGCATGGCATCAGCTATCTACTGATCGCTGGTGCAATGCTTTACAGGCTCCTTTACCTGCAAAAAAATGTTCATTTAATAATTTTGTCCAAAAGGTAAACTAATCCTTTAAGTACCAATATGTACAACTGGTTTCATTTATTCTTCTCTTCAGCAGCTATTATTTAAACAGAACTTTCTAAACATTTATATCTCTAGAAAGTTGTTGTTGGCAGAATTCTGACCTATGAGACAACTTGTTTGCAACAGGATTCTAAGATGCCTACAACTGTCAGTTGCACCATGAAGAATGGAATAATGCCTGAGAAGCTAGAGAGAGTGTCAGTAAAGGATCTGGCACAACCATAACCTCACGCTTATTACCATAACAGTCTATCATTGCAGACAGATGCTACAGGGCCATTGACAAATCAACTCAAATTGGCTACCTCAGTTTTTGTAGATTAGGATTTCTGTACTTCACTACAGAGTTTCAAGCTTTAGGATCCCCCAGCAGTTGTTTCCATTGTGTATTTGGAGCATTTACACTTCTTCACTCCTTTCAGTGTTCTAATTGGTTGGGTTAGTAATCTGGTGGTAGGTTTTATTTGCTGGCATCAGAAAAAGTCTATTGCAAAGCACTAAGCAGGGAGGAGCTGCCTGCTACACCACGGTGACAATACTTACTGTATGTTTGAACCTGCATGAGTTTTGAATTTAGTATATCTCTCTTGGCATGATTTTTTTCTTTGAATTAGGAGTAAAATTAACATTCACAGAGAATATAACTTAAATGTGTAATCGTGATTCTATTTCAATAGGATGTGTAACGGCATAAACAAATGTGCAAAAATGTAACCAACGACTGGACAATGAAACAGATCTGCAGTTGGCAAATAATGAGTTTTCTGGAATTAATCACTGTTAAGGTTAGTAACATTTAATGTGCTTAAAAATGACATCATATCAGAAAGTTCTGAGAAGACAGGCTTATTTCTACAGTCATGTGTAGGAGATCTGCTGTATTATATCTAGCAGCAACAATAAATTAAAAGAAACACACACTAGAAAATTTCAGGTGGATGCATACTTAAAACGTTAAAGTCTTGCTGGGGAGGATTGAGGGCAATAGGAGGGCTTACAATCCTTAATTTTGAAAGTGCAGTGCAAGGCTCCCTTTCTGGGATGAGAACATGACTATGGGATTGATTTACTAAAGGCAAATGGACTGTGCACTTTGCAAAGTGCAGTTGCTCCAAAGCTTAGTAAATGTGCAGAAGCTCTGTTAACATTCATCACCCAATGATGTGCAAGCAAAAATGCTGTTTTTATTTTCCTTGCACATAATTCTCTATTCTTTGCAAAGTGAGGATTTACCTCATTTACTAAGCTCTGGAGCAAGTGCACTTGTAGAGTGCAACTGCACTTTGCAACGTGTACAGTCTATTTGCCTTTAGTAAATCAACCCCTAAATGCCTTGGCTTTTGGTCACGTGACTGACATAGCCTGGACCAGAATGTTATCTACTTAACAAAGCCCTTCTATTACTATTTATCCATTTCAGGACGACTGATAACATACCCATAAGTTGGAAATAAATCTGCTTTAGGTTGCAGTTAGTCCCTTGAAAGCACTCTGATTAGATGCGCAAACCCCAGCAGGGGTTTCCATGATTAGCTGCAAGTGGCAGCCCCATTGAAAGCAAAGGGAGGCTGCTGGCTCCTGCAGCTAATCGTGTCCCTTCACATTTAATCACTTATGCAGAGATCACATGCAAGTGATAGGTTCTGAGCGTAGGCAGTCTGAGTCCAGGGCCGAATCGCACGTGATTACTGCATGTGCAATTATATCGGACTGGATCTGATTAGCTACGGGAGCTGGCAGCCTTCGGTTGCTTTCAATGGGGCAGCCTCTCACAGATAATCACAGGAACCCCTGCTGGGGTTTGCGTATCTAATCAGTCTGTGGGTGCAAACGTAAAGAGAAATTGTCACATTGCACATATTAGGACAAAGTGATAGTGTCTGTATCTAGTTCACCCCCCAGGCATGGATACTTATACAGCCATACTCTTTGGCCTGATGTAGCATCTCTGCTACAGTGTCAAAACCCCGATCAGGTGATGAAATCATGGCACTCACCCATGTGACAGTGTTCCGAGCACCGTCATATGGGGCAGGTCACATGTCTCCCCCATATCTGGAAGTCCAGTTCTATTAGAGAAGGCTCTGGCACTGTACGGAGACAGTGGGTGAGCATGGCTGGGTAAATATACATGTCTGGTATGGTGGGCTATGTGGAGACACTGCAATAATGTACTGAACGGGCAAAGTGATAGGGCCACTTTGAAGGATATTGTGTATAAGCTATTGAATTAAAGACATCTGGATATAGAATCCATTCACAATATTAAATACATTGGAAGTAAAAAATTCCTATGCCTTATAATTTTTTAATTTTTTTTTTTATGGGCTTTAATTAAAAATTCAGAGGGAGTGCAAATCAAGTTTAAAAACTTCTATGAATACTTATTCTGAAAAGCTCTAAAATATGTAAAATTAAGGGGTCAACTCTGCATCTGAAACAATGTAGATGGAACGAGTGAGTCAGCACACTAACAAGGATTTGGAACGGGCTATGAATTTCATGTAACCGTCTCATTCCTCAACATTCTTATTTTCTTTTATTTTCTTTATATATTATTAAATGTATCCTCTGTTCAGCACACACAATATACAATTGTATCTACTGTTGCTTCTCTAAGAGAAAGAAAAAAACAAACAAAAAAAAAATTATAGTGCATTTCAGCCATACGTTTTGTACACCATCTAAAGGATGGTATTTTAAATCCACTTGCTGGTATCTAGAATAACTTTTTATACGGGAACACAGGCAATCCACGATTGCAGTTTTCAAACAAAGATTGTGAATAACACCCAATTATATACAGTGGGAGACACCATGCAAGTGACATGTACTGCATCGTAAACATTAAAATATATCCCTTCCCGCATAACCCATTAGTGAATTTATCATTTCATATATATATTTGATGTGATACTATCCACTCAAGATAATACAACGCTTTTTTTTTTTTTAATATCAGCAAACATCACAAGAGTTTTAACTTTCTTGAATGCTGTTTTTGTTTTATACTTCTAAAGAGATCAAAATAAATTAAACATTTTATACATAATTACATATGGAGAGTTAACTTATTTTATCTTTTTAGTTCAGTACAAAGATAATTGCCAAAGTCCACCTTATGCATACTATTTTTTAACTGATCCAACAATCACTAGCTTTATTACTCTCAATCTGAGATGAACAGTAATTTTTAATTAGTGTGCTTACTTATGAATAGCTATGCAAATTCTCTTGAGGCTGCAAAATGAGGCTTTGAGGTGGCCAGGCTATATTAACCACCAGCCATATTTAGCCCCTGGGAGGCATAACATTTAAATAAAACCTTTTTTCCATTTAATGATTACAGTAGTCGGTTTTGGTTGCAAAATGGCACCCGATAACCCAATGCATGTTCATGTTGGTTTGCAGCCAAGAACTAATAGGTTCTCTATCAGAAGGAAAAACAAAGCTTATAAAATAAAGTTAAAAAACAAATGTAAAAATTCCCTTCTGATATCAGTGGGTTAAACACTGGAAAGATTAGCAGCTGACACACTTTGGCCTCAATCCAGTACCCAAGAACTTACAACATTGAACTATGCCTTTTCTTTAAATTACATTATTATGAATTTGGAATTTATTTATTAAAATCGTACCTTTTCTTCTCCCACAAATAACACATTTTAAGATTACATTTTCAGATTAGGTTGTGTCAACTCGTTGATGCAATCCCACCATAAAAGGTTTCATAAATCAACCTACTTCCATTATATTAAACATAAAAATCCTTCATAAAATCCACAGATACATAATGAAAACAATGGGGTCAGTCTAGCAACATAAAAACAAATAACTTTTTAAAAATTGGCATTTAAAATAAAAAAAGTAAGTTGATGGTCACACAGGCCTTTAAATTTCAGAGACCTGTAGAGTTCTCAACTCATTCAATTGAGGCAACACAGTACCCTAAAAAAAAGTCTTTTGGTGCTAAAGTGTAGTGGTAAAAACAAAAGCACATTTCACATTCTGTCTGCTCAATTATTTGAGGAATTGGTAAGTTAAAATGACAAAAACTGCTCCATTCTGAACAAAGGTTATCCCCTTATTTGCACGTTTGATTTTCTTTTTAGTGGACACAAAAAATTTTTTACATCTATTGTGAAGTCCATGGAAGCCTTAAAATGTACAAGACTACATGTTGTAGGCCACATATATGGGATCCAGCTGATCTGCCAAAAACCCATCTCGTAGGTGCATACGTTGTTTCTCTCCACGGGAGTTGATAGGAATGACACCAATGTCCACCACTACAACCACGCCTACGATAAGATAATGTTCCTCCAAGATCACATTTGTGACCAGCGGTACAAGATCCAGGGCTTCCTGTTCTGAGCCATCAAGCTCCACGACAACCACTAACAAGTTCGTCCAAGTAAAGACGGCACTAGAGGAGAATAAAAGTCAGTTTCAGAACTGATGCATTTATGGGAGCATATCTAAAATATTATCCAGAGGCTTTTGACATACTGAACTAACACATTACAAGCAAACACGTCACTATATTCTACAAGCATCTGTATAACTTGCTATGAAACAACCTAAACAGCTACTGTATATAATAACTACACCTACTGAACCTGTACTGCCAGCAACATATGAGCTTATGTGTTTTAATACAGAAGTCCACTAAAAGTTTCTCAGTGAATCAACCATGCTGTGTCCACAACATTTATTGCTATTTGTTTTCTAATTTAAAAAGGTCAACTTTACCCAAGAGTTCCATTTAGTATTGGATAAGCAGGTGCATTCACTCACTTGACTCCTTTTTGTATTAATTGGAGACTCCAATGCAGTCTCTCAACCCTTCCACTTCAGAGGAGCACATACAATCCCTTTTAGGACCCAGAGAACCCCCCTGTTAAAAACTGTATATTTACAGTAAACTGTACATCAGAATGGTCAGAAAGTTGTGGATATAATCATAAAAATCAATGCTCAATATAATAATTATGTTAAAATGAAAAAAATAATGGCCAGAAGATTAAAGCTTTGAAAATTGAAATGTCCCCTAACAGGGTGTCAATGGTCAGTGGAGATATGCCCCTTTAAATTGGTAGACAGCAAAGAAGACTGTTCTTATATTGGTGGTCAGTGGACTGTGCCCCATATATTGATGGTCAGTGGAGACTGCCCCCCTAACATTAGTGGTCACTAGAAAAAAGCCTTCAATATATAACACATTTCAAAGTACTGCACTCTACCCCCCCTTCTTTGCATAAAAAGGCATACACCCACACAATCTATAGCACATGTTACATATTGCTACACAGGCTGGAGTATGAGGAATAATTCTAGAGTCGTTAATTAAAGGAAAATAAAGCTCTTTTGGCTGTACTTCTGTGGATCAGAGGAGTGCACTTTGTTCTGCACTCCTGTGATGGTTTTCAGCTGACAGCATGTTGAAACCTGCTGTCAGCTGATGTCCCTCACCTGGTCCAGGATGGGGAAAGATTCCAACTTTAAAGTCTGGATCCACCTCAGAGTCTGAAGCGGAGGTGAGAACTCAGCGGCCAGCAGTCATGTGATCGCTGAGTTCGCACACTTAGAACCAGTGGGGTCAGATGCAGCATCCACCTAAGTAAGTATAATTTGAGAAAAAAAAACAAAACCTTTTAAGGTTAACTTAAACTGCTGGGTTGTAAAGTATTTTAAAGCATCACCTATGGACAATTTTGAGTATTTTGTGGTTATTTTTTAACCATTTTGTGGTTGCACACAGATTTAAGGCTCAGCATAACTGTATCTATTTACTTGACAGTCTTGTCTTTTAAAGGATAAGTTCACCTTTGGGAACATGTTACATGTTCCACCCGTTTTTAAGGTGGAACATGTAACATGTTCCCAATGCTGCAGCCAGCTGTCACCCACTGCCCCGCCCCCTATAGTTCCCTATACTAGCTGTCAGATTTAAAAACCACAGGGGGGCTCCCCCACATGGCCACGTCATTCATTCACAGACTTCTGTGAATGAATGAACTACAGCTTCTGACAGCCTTAGCCACGGTCAGCTTGTAGTTATCAATAAAACTACCATGGTGCTGTGGAGTGCAGTGGCAGTTCATTGAATCTTCCTGTCCATATATCTGCTTGCCCATACATCCTGCATGGCACCAGCGATCTGCTGATTGCTGGTGCAATGCTTTACAGGCTCCTGCAAGCAAAAATAATACCTGCTAAAAAATGTGCATTTTATATTTTTGGGCAAAAGGTGAACTTATCCTTTAAATTCTACATAAAAATAGGAATTATATTTTGTTTGCAATGAAATGAATTCTAGTGTATTTGTTTCTGAAAGTAGGTTGGAAAAATACTTTAAAACATTTGCAAATACCATCTTTATTCTGTAAGTTCTTTGCTTTCAGAAAATATATAATGCTTTGCGTTTTTAGGTAATTTTCAGGCCTAAGATGCCAATTTTAAATACATTTTTTGCATGTGTTTCTGGGGGGCAAAAGTAAAGCCAAGGAGATTAAAAAGAGGATTTAGAGATTTGGGGCAAGTATTAGGAAAATACCCTTTACAACATAAAGTAGCAGTGTGCACATGGCCAGAATCTGGCATTTCAAGGCCATGGTTAATATGCTGCTTCTTAATTTTCCACACTCTTGACCCCCCCCTCCCCATGTGAATCTGACATATAGGAATGAGGAGGTGTCCAACTTGCTGTCATATGGTGAACAATGTCCAGTGAAATGCTTAAAATGACCTTCTACACTTCTATGATAACATCAAGAACCATAATAAGGATTGAGTTCTTGCATTCCATAATAAACCTTAGCGGCATACTGTATTACCACGGATCACTGTCCTGACTTGATAGGGAAGAACTGATGCTTCAGAATTTGTAAAATGTGACCTTTTGTATGACAGCAATGCTTACTAAATCCAAACACTGCTGTTACCATTTCTGCACTGATACTCTTACATCTGTAGTGTATTGTCCTGTAAGTAAAATAAGAATTTGCAGAATTTTTACCATTCTGTTACACTCTTGTGGGCTCTGATCACAGATGTCTCTATATCAATTGGGTGGTATCTCATCCCTCGTAATTCCATTGCTTCATCTAAAGCCCCCACAACATACAGAGCATCATGGCGTTCTAAAGAAGAAAAACAAAACCGTTTTGTATTAGAAAAAACAAAAACAGAACCTCTATTGTTATGTAAATTGAAAGTACTACATTAATCACTTGCCCACCACCCGCTCACATTTTACTGCTGGTGGGAGGCTCATACAGGCACAATCATGTACTTATATGTCGGCAGTGTCTTCTGGGTTCAGGACATATGTGCACCCCCTTCCCTTCTCGGCCGGCTCCTGCTGTGATTGGACACAGCGGGATTTTGTCAGCAGGTTTCAGCAAATGATTCATGGCTGAAACCTGCTGATCACTGTGTCCAACCTCAGTCCAGAACCCTATGTTCACAAACCTTCTGAGTGCAGCTCCTCCTCAAACCTGCCTTATACTTACCTGAGCCCCATCTTGATCCAGCGATGTGCATGAGAACAGCAGCTCTCCCGAGTGTCTCGCACAGCAGCGGGAACCATTGACTCTCCTGCTGCTGTCAAACCCAGTGAGCCAATGAGAAGAGAGCAGGGAGGGCGGGTCTGAGTTGTGCTCTCTGTATAAATGGACAATGTCCATTCACATGAGCACAGCTCGGTACCAAGTCTGCTTAAGTGCCCCCATAGCTTGCTATTGGGGGCACTCGGCAGGGAGGAGGGGCTAGGACCACTGGCAGGGGACCCAAAAGGAAGAGGATCAGGGATGCTCTCTGTAAAACCAATGCACAGAGCAGGTAACTATAACAATGTTTTTTGGGGGGGTATTTTTTCACTTACAACCTTTACAATCACTTTATTCAAGATAACTTTGTCATTATTTAATATAACAAATTAAACAGACCCTTAGCAGAAATGTAAAGAGACCCTTTCCAAGCCAACCAGAAGTTTCTAGTTAAAGGTATGTTGTTCCTGATTTGTAGACTTTCTCAAACTCATCTTGGAGCTTTTGACAGTGCTTGCTGCTTTCTACATGGTTCAGGTTTTCATTTTATAACTCATCTTCAATAAACCCCTTTGTATTTTTCTTACACAATGGTGTAAAGCAGAAGGTGGCAGGTGTCTTGAAGGTAATAAGAACATCTCTTTTGGTGTGACCTCTTAATAGCCAGCTTCTGACCAGAAAGACTTTAGATTTGGAATGTCCCATCATACTAAATGGAGCATTTAACAGGGACACAGCCAATCATATCAGTTCTGAGGCTGCAAATCATTTTACAGCCCTAATATTTTGCACATGATAGGCATACTTGAATGTCTTACCTCCATTTGCATCAGTTAGCTCTGTTCTTCTCAGGAACCCCAGGTAGCCTGTCCGTGCCCACACAGTTTGTGTGTCTCCAAAGCTGAGCCGAGAACTGAAGTGGTCTGACTGTAGGGACTCATCTCCATAAATCGTAAAGTACCCGCTGGCGTTATGTGCACTATGAACCCAAATCTACAGATCAAGAAACAAATGTCATCCTTAAAGGTGCCTACATGATAACAAAAAACATTGCAAACTGGTCTTTAAGCAACAGATCTAAAAATCTACTAAAATGCATTGCTGTTATAGTGTCCTCCTAGAGAAAAGCATAAAAGTCAATGAGTCATAATGAATAATGATGCTTAGTCAGATTTCTCTTTTATTACTGCCATATAAATAAAGTACATTGAAGTATTGAGCACAAGTGACAAGCATGTACTAAGAGTGTGTTATTAGGTCTGAACTGCACATTAGAAGCACCCACACAAGAGCAAGCATTAAATCCTTGTATTACACGTCCGCAGGACTCAAAACTGAATGTCAGACATAACAGTTGGCATTAGCCGTCTGCCTAGATCAATAATCTAATTCCAATGTGTTATTTTTACTGTAAGTGCTGTATCCTCATACTAACGTCTCTAACTAAGTGTCAATCTTTAGATTACTATGAGAATGAATAAATCAAGTTTTACCATTTACAGTTTTCCATAGGCAGTTACTAAAATTGGAGTAAATGGCCACAGAAATTCAGCTGACATGTTGTTAGTACAGTATTGAAATCAACATCTTACTAGTTGTGAGCTAATTTGGCTCCTTTTTTTTAATGGCTAATCTCTAAAATACAAAATCTGGCCATGGGTATTAGATGGCGGATAGACTGAGTATGCACAATCTGACTGCTGAGTGATTCTTTATAGAAGGGTACACCCATGTCTTCAGAGTGTATTTATACAGTTAGAGGACAACTCAGCAATAACTTGATGTAACTAAAACAATAGTAATAGCCTAGGAAAATCCATCCTGGCTGACTTACACCCTTCCTAGATGTCAGTAAACAAGGGTTTTTATCCCCTGTACTGAAGAGATCAAATCAAACATATATGAGAACAGTACAGACTGCAGACAACCTGAGTATAAACAAAGTATTGGTCTGGACTTTTCATGACAGGTATCAAAGTACACTGAAAATAAAAAGAGAGGTAAGAGGTTATATTTGAAAATGTGTTTGCTGTCCCTGAATATATTTAAAGCTGTTTTCAATGAGCACAGTTATCCTTTAAAGTGTAAGTAAAGCCAAATTTTTTTTTTTAGTTTTGGATAGGGTAGAGAAGAACCCTACTAGGTTATTTTTTTTTGCTCTTTGTGTTTCACTAAGGAAGTTTCCTGCCAAGTGAATTGTGGTCTTCGTTTCACTAAAACATTTGTCCTCTGTGGATTACTAACTCCTTAATGCCGGCACCTCCTGGCCCTTTAAGGGGTTTCTCATGCCAGGAAGTGGGGCAGTGTTTATGATCACGTGACCACTGTGAATGGCTGTCACAGCAGTCACATGATCGGAAAGCTGCCAATCGCAAGTAGCAATGGGGAGCTTTCTGTTAGGCACCGGTAACTGTGGCGGGAGCATGCAGGGTGCACACTCCTGGCACAGGTTTGTTTACATTTTGATATGCAAATATGCGACCTCTCAGGGTCAAGGCCCACCCGCCGAGAGGCAGCATAATTAAGTACTCTCGGCGTAAAGAGGTTAATTATTACCTCTTGCTCTAGCGAATACTCTAAAACATTAGATTTCCCCTCACTCTGTCTTGGTGACATTGTCCAAGACAAACAAAGGAGTACATCTACCTGACGAGGACACAGACAAAAAACAAAACAAAAAAAACGACAGAGGATCTATTTCTCACCCATACCAAACTAAACAAAGAGCCATAACCGTTCACAGGCAAGCACTGAGCTGGCTGTCAATCAGGACTCTGGGTGGAACCTGACAATATGGTCAGGATCCTTTCAAAGCCTGGAGCAGTTATTTATTTATTTCAGGTACTTATATAGCGCTGTCAATTTACGCAGTGCTTTACATATATATATTGTACATTCACATCAGTCCCTAATCCTCAAGGGGTGTACAATCTAAGGTCCCTAACTCATATTCATACATGCACATACTATGGACAATTTATACAGGATCCAATTAACCTACCTGCATGTCTTTGGAGTGTGGGAGGAAACCAGAGTACCCGGAGGAAACCCACGCAGGCACAGGGAGAACATGCAAACTCCAGGCAGGTGGTGCTGTGGTTGGGATTCGAACCAACAACCCTAGTACTGCCAGGCGGAAGTGCTAACCACTAAGCCACTGTGCCGCAGTTCTGTAATGTCAGCCATAAGCGGGATTTTGCCCGCTGTTGGTTGATTCCGGGTCACAGAAGAGCACAAGTATGTGCACACCTCTGAGCCACAACAGAAGGCCAAAAACTCTTTGACCAAACTTGGGCAAACTGTATTAGAGAGAGGAGCTCAGAAGAGTGGATGTGACTTACAGTACATCTCATAATATATTTTTATGAAGAGTAATTTGGCGTGCACTATGGACATTCTTTTCTGAAAAGAAAAAAAAGCCAGCCTTAAAAAAAAAACATATGGTGACTGGCTGTGTGTCATTTTTGTAGACTAGCACTTAAACATGAAACATGTCCTATCATACCAGGACTCTCATGTCTGTGCACAGTAGATTCCCTTGATGTCATTCTCCTCAGTTTCAATCATCAGCGTACTTACTGTTTGCTATCCCAACTCATGCAGTTCTCTCTCTCGCTGTTACTATCCTCAGGGTTAGCCAACTTGAAAACAAGAATCTATCCAACATAACTGATTTTTATGCTTCCTATTACTTGATCCATACATCATACTCTACCCGCTAATAGCAAATGCTTGTCTGATCTCTAGCAAAATTTGTGGTAAGCACACAGCACAGAGCCATCATTACATGATCAATGTGAAAGTTTTCCAACAATGTCATCAATGCAGTAGAAGACTTTTATAGCACTAAAAAGCTTAATTATGTAGCCGCATTGTTACAGCACTTTTATGATGTTTTTCAAATTAATTACAATGCTGCAATGGAGCCTAAGCATAAAAAGAAAATTATTGTGAGTAAATGTAGTAATCCTAACAGAAAAAATACTTCAGACACAAGTTAATTACATGTATACCCAAACTTCAGTTTTCAAAAGCAAATGACACATGAATGCACTAAGCAACTGAGACACTCAGTTAAACCAAAGGAAGAGCTAAATCTCATTGATTAATGCTCTGTCACAAATCAGAAGAAGAATGTAATCTCATTTATAAACAGCACTGAGTTGTAATACAGTGCCTGTGAATCACTTTGATTTCTGATCAGCAGATACATTAAATATTAATCACAATGACAATAATTAAAAAGATTAATGATACACAAAAGTAGTTATTAAAATGTACCAGCCATAGTATAGTTTGGGGAAGCCAAGTTTTCCTTGCACAGAGAAAAGACTTTTCATGTTTAACCAACAGCCATAGATAGCTAAAGATGCTATATTTAATATATTGTTGCTTTGAACCAATTCCAAATCAATAGACTTCCGTAACAAGGTAAACGTCAGTTCCAGCTTGTATGTTTTAGGCAGGTTAAAACTTCAGCTTGGATGCAATCTGGATGCAAACCACATCATGCTGTGACTTGGCTAAAGGATTACACATCAGAGGACAACATGACTCACCTCCCCGAGATGTGAGTCTCCAAGGGGTCCCTTTGTTTCCGGATTTGCAATGATTATACGAACACCTGGGAGGATCTGGTGAGATGAAAGACATTTGATTTAGACACAATTTGTACATGAGTCATACAGAAAAGAAAATAATACAAAGGTATTATTAGAGGTAAAATTAGGTGTAAACCAGTTTGCACTTCCCATATGAACTCTTGTTATAAGATAGCTAAATTAACACACTTATGCCCCTATTTGTCCCCCAATTTGTTCTTTCTTCTTGAATAGTTACGTAGCTGGTGAAGTTGAATGAAAACACCAGTCCATCGAGTTCAGTGTGTCTATACCATTTTCAATGTCCCTGGACATTGTGTTGGCTAAGAAACGCATTTAAATGGTTTTTGAATTTATCTACACTCTGCTGACACCACCAAGTGAGTTTGCCACCCTTACTACTCTAAAGGTAAAGAACCCCTTATGAAGTTTAATATTGAGCCACCTTAATTAACTCTTGTCCAACTTAACTGTGTGATGCATTTCTTCATTAGAGTCCTTAGGTTAAATAGTTTCCTCCCAATTCTAGAGTCACCATTCAAAAATGTGTATATTGCAATCATATCCCCTCTTAAGCGTCTCTTCTCCGGAGAGAATAAGTTTAATGTTCGTAGTTGCTCCTCATGACTCAGATCCTCCAGCCCACTTATTAGCTTTGTTGCCCTTCACTGGACTCTCTCCAGTTCAACCACTGAGGACTGGTGACCAGAACTGGATGGTATTCTCAAGATGTGACCAAACCAAAGTTTTGTAAAGTGGTAGAATTATAGTTTTATTTTGAGTAAATATCCTAGATTGTAAGCTCGAAAGAGCAGGGCCCTCGAACCCCTCGTGTATTGTATTGTTACTGTCTTGTCTCATGTTCTGTCCCCCTTGCTACTGTACAGCGCTGAGCATACCATTTGGCGCTATATAAATACTGTATAATAATAATATCCTTTTTAATGCATGCTAACAGTCTAATGGCCTAGCTTCTTGCAGCTTGGCATTGCATGCTATTGCCAAGTCTGTCATCTACTAAGAAACCCAGACCTTTTTCCTTCTCGATTCTCCCCCTAGAGAATAATCTGCATTCATATTTTTTAGCTCCAAAGTGCATTACTTTACATTTTAGCCTCCCTAGCGGTATGATTATGTCAGTATATCTGTGCTCAAAGCGGTACTGAAACTTTACTCCGAGCTACACTCGGGAATACCGCCAGGGAGGTTAATACATTGAACGTCATCTGCCATTTAGCTGCCCACCCCTCTATTTTATCTAGGTTTTATTTTAAAGTTGCTCTGTCCTTTTGTGAAATTATTACACTGCTTAGCTTTACATCATCAGTAAACACTTAAATTGAATTATTTATTCCAACCTCTAAATTGTTTACGAACAAGTTAAACAGAATTGGTCCCACTAACTACCACCCTCTGGACATGCTTTTGCAGTATCCAGGTACATCAATGCTAAAAGATCATAATTTGTAAAGTTTTGTAATTTGTAAAGTTTTGTAATTTGTAAATTAAGAATTTATGGGGTGCTGTAGCAAATACCTTACCTTCTCAATACATCTTCTCTATATTTGTTAAAAGGTTTTCTTGCGAGAACAGTCTTTTAAAAACACAATTTAGTTACCAGTAACGATACTATTTTCATAGCAAATTCTTAGGCATTGTCCCTGATCATTCCTTTGCATACTATTGATGTAAGGCTGACTAGTCTGTAATATATATCAGGCCTTTTTTTAATACTGGCACAAGTTTTGCTTTTCACAAATCACGTGGTACCATTCCAGTCAATAAGCTTTTCTTAAAAATTTGAAATAATGATCTGGCTATAGCATGGCTAAGTTCTTTGAAAACTCTCAAGTGTAAGATATCTGGCCCTGGTGTGAAGCCAGAGGACTGGGAGGAAACCAGATGAAGACATCTAGAAGTGTTGGATTTGTGTTGAGTACAAAGAAAGTAGAGACCAGGAAACAAGTGAGGACAAAAGAATGTATTATTTTTTTTATTTTCTACTGAAACAAGAGTTCAGAATGAACGTGCTACTAAACCCATGAACCTGCATTCACTATATCTGGTCTCTGACGGTACACAGAACACGGAAATGCAATTAAGGTTGTAAATATAAACTGCTAAATACCTTTTCTAATCAGCAGTATATAGTAGTTTGACCTCTTTCTGTGTCCAGGTGAGATGATTTAAGTTTGTAGGAGGAGTTTTCATTCTCCTCTGACTTTCCTATGAGGCTGCATAACCCCTGACCCTCTGTCTGAACAGTGCTGATTGGCCCTGTGCTTATCACATCACATCCTCCAAAAGAAAGAAAAACTCTCTAGCAATACACACTAAACTGAGAATGTGCAGATAGGCTCCTAGAGATATGTACTATCAGCAGATGGATTGAGGACAGTAGAAGAAGGGGAGGATCGCAGAAGACAGGATCAAACAGCCTTTTTACACAATGTGCAGTATTAGCTCCTTAGGTTCCACAGTATAACAAGCATGCCTTACTGTATATACAGGCTGATTTTACTGTTATGGGTTTAATAACACTTTAAGGTGGCTCTACACTAATGGAATTTTGTTTGAAAATTTTCATTTAGTTTGTTTAATTATTTTTAATCATTGGTGGGGTAAAATCGACATTCATTTTCAACTTCAGTGAAGATAAAATTAGAACAAATTTCTAATAGTAATTGTGGTTTTCATGCGGTAAAATCCATCCATTCCAAAACCAAACTGTAAAAACTAAACAAAAAACTTTGAACAACCTGTACTTCCGAATAATATTTGTCAAGCCAAGTGTACTGAGAATTTTTGTACAATGTTTGTATGAACATTGAAAATCCACTAGGTGTATGGCCAGTCTGGACTTTACCACCCTCTCTCCCCAATCAAACCCTTCATTTACCAACTACAGCTCCCTCATCTTTATACTGGGCAGTGGTATCACCCATTGTACTGTTTTCTCCACATATAGAGAGAAGCTATTGTAGAGTAGGCAGGACAATGCTATATGGGGTGAATGTCTCCCCTGCAGCAGCCTGGAGTATTTTCAGATACCGCCAGGTTATTTGACTCAAGATCGAATAATCTTGGGTGCGCTTAAAGAGCAACTCGACACAAACAGAGTAATACAGATGGTTCAATACTCCTATGGGAGACATGACATAAAAATACTGTATTTCAGGGCTTAAAATTTCAAGTCCTGAGCTACTAGCCAAGCCTTACAGTTACTCGCCACCAACAAACAGAGACACCTGTACACACACACAGAAACATTTACACACACGCACACATAGACACATGTATACACACACAGACACGCATACACACAGATACATGTACATACACAGAAATACACACGCAGACACATGTACATACACATAGACACATGTACATGCATACACAGACACATGTACACAATGCATACACAGACACATGTACACACAGACACATGTACGTACATAAACACAAACACACACACATGTACATGCACACATACATGTACATGCACACACACATACATGTACATGCACGCAGACACATGTACAGATACACACATGTACAGATACACACATGTACATACACGCAGACACAAGTACAATTGTACATGCATACACAGACACACACACAACCCCCCCCCCATAAAAAGTTGCAGTACTTCGTTATTCACTCACAGATGCGGGTGCTGCACTCTAGGGGGAGGCAGAGAGCACAGCACATGCTCCTTGCTTTGCTTTCACTGCGCTCAGCTATTGAGCAGTCTGATGGCTCCCAGTGCCAATGACAGATCCGGCCTGAGCTCTGAGCCTGCTCAGCAAGATGGCCCTGGGGGACACACTCTGCCCCCACCATAATTTCCACTTGCCATTGGCGAGCAGGCGAGTGGAAATCTCGAGCCCTGCTGTATTTTATCCCCTCCAAATGATTGACTACTTAGTTACAAGAAGAACACTGGCCACTTAAATACATGAAACACATGGACAGCACAATGACTGACTGGTTAGCACTTCTGTCTAGCAGCACTAAGGTCATTGGTTTGAATTCCAACCACAGCACTAGCTGCGTGGAGTTTGCATGCTCTCTCTGTGCCTGTGTGGGTTTCCTCCAGGTACTCCAATTTCATCCCACGCTCCAAGGACATGCTGGTAGGTTAATTGGCTCCTGTCTAAATTGTCCCTAGTATGTGTATGTATATTAATTAGGGACATTAGATTGTAAGCCCCTTGAGGGTTAGGGACTGATGTGAATGTACAATATATATGTAAAGCACTGTGTAAACTGACAGTGCTACATAATAGTTTCCTTTTGGATGACATGGGAAAAGGTTTTATCTTCAGCTACAATTGTGCTTTAATTTTAAAAGAAGAAACACCATGACTTTTCAGAAATTGACAAAAAATGAAAATCACAGAAACTACTGGTAACTTTACAGCCCATGGCGGAAGAATGGGGGGGAATATAACATTTTCATAATGACCATCTCTTTCAAGGTTGCAAGAAATGTCACTCAGATAAAAATGGAACTCCAGGCATGGCTTTTTTTCTAGCTTTGGGTAGAAGCCTGAGGGTTCTAGAACATGTTAGGTTTTTAATGCAGTCTGTATTTCAGATTGAGAAATTCACTCTTGTTTTCTGTCCTAGCGACCATTGTCAGTGGGCAGAAGGTAAAGGGAAAACTTTTGCAGAACAGTAAGGGGGTGAAATCAAATGGGGGCATTCTGCTGAAAACTGTCAAATACTAAATCTCCTCCTCAATTTCAGTTGGGTGACTTGAATTGTAAGTGAGAAGAATTTTTCCAAATGGGACAAGGACAACAATAAAAAAAACTATTACTTTAACAATTCCCTACTCTATCGAGAGCTAGAAAAGAAAAAAATTAGGGGTGACATTCTTCTCTTAAGTTTCAGCCCAATCTACATGTAGCCAGTGGAACTCTGCATCCCCTATACACTCTGTGCAAGCACAGAGATGTGGAGACATTGCCTTCAGATTGTTATTTCTTAGTTCTGTGACATATTAGAATTGACATACCTTTCCTGATTCCATGAGGGGCAAACTGTGAGGAGATCCTCTTTCTACTAGTCGGACTCTGAAAGAGATGGAGAAAATTATTTCTATTTATAGTTAAATACATAGAGTATATCTAGCCCAGTTCTGTAATATATCATAATTATAATGCGATACAAAGTGAACGTGTGCTTTGACAAGGAAGACTAGAATATCATAGGCGGTTGTTGAAAATAAAGTGTAACTTAAAGTGGAGTTCCACTCATGCTGTCAAAAAATACAATTCAGCAGCTACAAAAACTGTAGCTGCTGATTTTTAAAAAACAGCCACTTACCTGTCCCTCGGTGTGTCCCCTGCGGCCCGTTTCACCGGCTGTCCTGTATTCCAGGAGGCCGACATCTTCAGTGTGGGCAGCTTCACAGCCGGGTACCCACTGCGCATGCGTGAGTAGCGCTGCGCTTCCTGAATGGTCTTGTAGTCTTCTGAGACCTGTCACGTGTCCCAAAAGACTACAGGTAGGGAGGGAGGAAGGACACCTTCTGCTTCCGATCACCTAAGGAATTGGACTGGAAGTGGAAGCAGGTACCTGTCAAATTCGGGTACCCGCCCTCCAAAGGTGCCAATCCTTAATGGGGAGTGGGGAAGCAGTCCTTAAGGCATAACGTCCCCATTTGGGTGAAGCTCTGCTTTAAGGCAAAACTTTTTTTTTAGTTTTGGATAGAGTGGAGAGGGGTTAGAACACCTGTCAGTTTTTATTGTTTTCTGTGCTCTCGTTAAGGAGATTCTCTCTATTTGTCCTGTTTACCATTATCTTTGAAACAAAAAGAAAATCCCAAATTTTGCGTTGTCCCCAGAAATGTGGTAATCGAGAGGAAACCTTCCAATGGGGACAGGAATTTCCTCTCACTTCCTGTTTGGTTACAGGACAAGAAGTGAAGGGAAATCCCTGCAATGGGTCCTAGATAGTGAAAAAAAGATCTGACGGGTTATAACAGTCACTTGCGCTATCCAAAATGAAAAAAAAAAATGCCTATAGTTTTACTTTAATGGTCTGGTGAAAGGGTCCATTTAAAGCAAAATTGTTCTGGCGTGTCAGGGCAAAGCAAAAGGTTCACTTCAATTCTTTCTCCCCAGCACCACATACTCAACTTTCTTTTGCTCCCCGGAGTATATGCTGCTAATGAAGGGAGAAATAAAATAAACCTGTTGGAATGCCCATACACCCTGAAACAGGTTTTTTTTGTATGTATGTCATTAGGACCAATTCACTATGGTATAGATATCATTATCTGACATAACCACCATTATTTTCAGCAGTGAGGAGCAATGAGAACTGCAAAGAACAGCTACCTAGCTGAACATAATAATGATTATGGAAAATAACGTATGCATCATAGCTTAGTGGATTGAACCGATAAGCTTGAATCATCTCACATTCGGTCTTAAATCAATCTGCAGCCCAGTTTCTAGTAGTAGGTTCTCAATACCTGTATCTCAGTGTAATAACTGTAGCCATCACAAAAGTATTTGATTTACACCCCAGGATTCTGAATTTAGGCCTTGCTGACATACCAGCATTGCAGTGCGGTTTGCACACAGCAAGTAAAACTAGTAGCACCAATTTGTACCACTGTAGTCAATTGTACAGTATGGCAATGTATGGGAGTACTGTAAAAGATTTCATCCAAACTAGTGCAAGACGTAGCCTGGGTGTGCTTTACATAGATTTCAGTGATAACAAACCTGCTATTGCACCTTATCAACACACTGAAATTGCTATATAAAACAACATGCTGCCCCTGTCATCTTCTCAATCTGCAAATGCTAGCTGCCTGGCTGTCATTCTGGCCCCATTTCTTCATTATTTTTAGACACTACCCCCGAATATGAAGGCAGATGAGAACTTATGACTAGACTTTGACATTACTGATCTGCATAGTTGCTCTGTGTCAGTAACTTCAGGAGGTACTAAAGGCAGATGATCAGCATAACAACCAAGAAGTACTGAAAGAGGAGCAGCATTTTCAGAAGCACAGTCCACAAAAAGATACACTGTTCTGTATATCATGATTATGTTGAGTAGGGAGCCATCTATTGGGTGTTCACTGCAACTGCACCTGATTTTGTTATTCTCTTTAACAAGAACAGGAAGTGTCTCGTGCCTGCTAAGAATAAAGATTTTCCATAAACCACTGCAGCCTTTTTAACTTCCTGAAGAACACCAGCAGTGGTCTCCTCCATTCTCCCTTTGATACACATATGCCTGCAGGTTCTTTCATTGTGTTTGTTAAAGTCACATACAGAGCTAGATCACATTACAATGTATTCAATATGATTTGTAGGTAACTGTAAGAAATGTGTTCATTGCATGCATTTGTGAGAGACGTGTCTACAAGCATGTTGTAACTTCAATTTATGTGATTGCAAAAAAAATAAATTCAGTTTTTGAATTTAACACAACGCTGCTTCTTTCAGTTTTGTTAACTAGCCGTCAGCTAACCGTTAGTAGGACAGCACATACACAATGCTAGCCAGCATTCTTCCAAGTTTATTAATTAGAATGGATGGTAATTCCCACTAGTCTCCTGTAGCAGACTGGTGGGATTACCTTCATTTTTAATTATTAAACTTGGCAGAATGTTATATTTGGAAATGGGAGTGGAAGAACTCTTTTGCCGGCAAGGCACCCATAACAGTACAGCTGCAGCTTTCTAGCATCATTAGAAGTAGGATAGCAATGACATGCTCTGTATTTCTCTCAGGTAAGGCATAATATTAAGGTGCTACATTGAGTCTCCATACAACAATGCCCATATAGGTGTTTGTACGATTTATTAGTATACTGCAAGTGCAAAATAGAACATTAATCTTTTTGTGCTGAGAACTTCCCAAATCCCATAACGGATAACATCAATCAAGTATACCATGATGACGGATAATCTAATAGTATTCAGGGTGAAGGAGGTTAGGATTTATTAGAAGCTAAATGGAAAATAGCATAATAAAGCCTAAAATCTGAAGAAATAAAGTATGGCTCCTGCTGACAGCCTAATGCAGTTAGAAAAGTTAAAGAGGTTGCATTTTATAAAAGGGTCACAAGATGAGCCAGCTGAGACCAGAGACCATGCAGTTTCTTGCCAAATACAAAATCTGAGGTCATCCACAAAAATCTATGATCTGTTCTAAATGGAGTAATGTTCATTGGTATTCCCTGCCAGGCACAGGCCAAAGCCGCACCCAGCTTCACAGAAGAAACAGTTTCTTTACTCTAATATAGGGGCATTCAGGCAGGATACCATTCTTGCTGAGTGTGATTAACTACTAGGTATACCGCAACCTAGACTAATGAGACCCTTGATGGATACAACTTCTAGGGTACATTTTGGTAAAGGTGGAGATAGAAGAAGATATTAAAGGGATTACATACCAGTCATTTCTTGTAGTTATCTGTAACCTACATCCTGCATTCACACCTGAGCAGAGTGTATTCCTGGTGATGTTGAAACATGTTTTCAGGTGAATTACAAGTGTTTTTGCACATGTATCAAGCTTCAGGAGTTTATTTCATGGGCTGGGCAAGGGGAAGGAAGCAGTTCTACAGGAGGAGAAAATGTGTAAAAACACACATTTTCTTCACTCCCCATTGATGTCTATGAAGCCAAAAACATCTGACTATGCTAGAAAAAAAAAAGCTCATGTACTTTTTCAAACGTGGATTGTAGAGCATGGCAGGGGTCTTAAATTAAAAAAAATGAAAGTCCAGTCATTTTTCTTCCAGCAGAAGTCCAAATCTCACGTTTTTGCTATAACACATCACAGTCCACCCCCCCATCAGTGTCTTCAGCCTACCCTTCACACCATAGCCCCCTGTACATCACAGCCCCCTCTTTATATCAGTATCCTCAGTCCCCCCCTTTACATGATAGCTCCCACTTTACATCAGTGTACTCATTTTCCCCCTTCACATCAACCACCCTTTACGTCACAGTCCCCCTTTTTACATCAGTGTCCTCAGCCCCCCTTCCACATCATAGCCCCCTTTTACATCAGGGTCCTCATTTCCCCCTTCAAGGTGGTGTGATTTTCAGCCTTGTATGAATGGGCAAAATTCACGGTGGATCATACAAAATGTAGTGTATACACTACTTTTCAAAAATGCACTGCATCAAATTGTATGGTACTGCATATCCAGTGCAGGCAAATGCACTGCTTTTGCAATCTGCATTTGGGGTGTCATTAAGGATAATATTGACGCAAGCACCAGACTGAAATAAGTGCGAGAAACACACACCACGTTCTGGTGTGAATGAGCCCTTACATCACAGACCCCCTTCACATCACAGTCCCCCTTTACACCTGCTCCATAGTGTCCTCAGTACCCTTTCACCCCGCAGCCCCCCATAAATCACAGTGCCCTTAGTAATCACAGTTTCCCTGCCCATCTAATTCTCCCTTGCAGTCGTAACCCCCTTTCCTTTACATTACACTCCCCATTTCAATTGTATCCTCCCTTACACAGTCCTACTATAACACAGCAGGGCAGAGGCACTTATAAGGCTTAATGTCCACTCATGGGTCTTCCCTAGGTAGGCCACCGCTGTCATCCTTATAGCACGGCAGTGAGCAGGGTGGGGGGGGGGTAAGGCAGGTCTGGATGGAGAGTGGGAGCTGGCAAATTTAAGTTAATGAGAAGGTGATTTTTTGCTTGTTAGATAAAAGAGACTTCCATTCTCTGTGCAGATCTACAGCACCTCCTGCCCCCTGCCCTACTGTGAGGATGAGAGTAGCAGTCGGACAGAAGACCCAAGAGAGGACACCCAGCTGCTGGTAAGGGACACAGCTCTACGCCAGGAATCATTAAATGGCAGACCACGGTCCAGACCCAGACCAAGTGACAGCCCTGTCGGGACCGCGGTCTGCCATTTAGTGATCCCCGGCGTAGTGCAAAGGGAACATAAACATACAAGTGTGAACAGAGACAATTAGAAAGAATGGGATTCTGTGTAGTAAGGAGCAGGGAAACAAGCCTAAAAATGTTCAGGTGTGAATAGGGGCTGCAACTTGTCTCCTCCTTCCTAACA